TTATTCTATTTTTAGGTCATCTTTAATTTTTTTCTTATTTATGTTTTATAGCTTTTAGTGTATATGTCCTTACACTTCCTTGGTTAAAGTTATTTCTATGAGTTTTCTTAATTGTTATTATAAATGGAATTAAGTTCTTATTTTCCTTCCTGAATTGATCATTGCTAGTGTATAGGAATACAACTGATTTTAATTTTATTTTTTGCCCTTTCTTTCACAGAATAGGACTTTTTAAATTATTTTTTATTCTAATTTGTAAAACAGGACTTTTTTTAAAGCAGCAAAACTAAAGATTACTTTGATTATAATAGGTTCACATATAAAAGGTAAATAAAATTAGAAGCAAGATTTTCATAAAGAGTTAAAAATAGAGGTATTAACTTCTGTTTATTAATGCATATTGTATGAATTGATTTGTATTTTGCAACTTTGCTGAGCTCACTTATTAATTAGCTTAATCATTTTAACATATTTTTATGTAGATTCTTTAGGGTTTTCTTTTTTAAAAAAATATTTATTTTTTAGTTGTAGTTGGACACAACACCTTTATTTCACTTGTTTATTTTTTTTATGTGGTGCGGAGGATCGAACCTAGTGGTAGAGCGCTTGCCTCACATGTGTGAGACCCTGGATTTTTAAAATTTAATTTAATTTTTTTTAGTTGTAGATGGACACAATACCTTTATTTTATTTATTTACTTTTACTTGGTGCTGAGGATCGAACCCAGTGCTTCACACGTGTTAGGCGAGGCTCTACCACCGAGCCACAACCCCAGCCCAGATTCTTTACAGTTTTCTATAGGTAAGATTGTCATTTGTTTTTAGAAACAGTTGGAGTTAGTTATTTTCAATATGGATGATGGGCTTTTTTTTTAAATCTTAACTAATGGCCCTGGATAGAACTTTTACTATAATGTTGAATATAAGTGATGAGAATGGACAGTCTTGTCTTGTGACTGTTTCTAGGAGGAAAGTTTTCAGTATTTAACATTTAGCTTATGCATTCATTTATAAATTCTTTATAGATGCCTTTATCAAGTTGAGAGAATCCCCTTTTATTTATAGTTTATTGAATGTTTTGTCATGAAACAGTGTTGACTTTCATCAGATGCCTTTACCATATCTAGTGAGATGATCGTGTGTTTTTTTCAATTCTATCACTATAGAACATTACCTTAACTGATTTTATTATGTTATGCCACCCTTGTGTTCCTGTTTCCTCTTGGTCATCATGTGTAATCCTAATATACTACTAGATTTGGTTTACTTGTATTTTGTTGAGAATTTTTGCCTTTGTATCTATAAGGGTTCTAGGTCTGTAGATTTATTGTGGTGTATTTGTCTGACTTGGGTATTGTGGTACTACTGGTTTCATAGAATGACCTAGGGAATATTCCCTTCTCTTGTATTTTTTGGAAGTTTGAGAACAAATTTATAAATTTCTGAGCACTGCTTTCATTAAAACACAAAAGTTTTAATATGTTTTCATTTTTGTTCTTAAAGTATTTTTATAATTTCCCTTTTGAATTTTTCCTGGACCTATTTTTCGTTATCCAGAACTGTGCTCTTTAATTTCCATATAATTGTTAATTTCCCAAATGCCCTTCTGTTATTGATTTCTAATTTTATTCCATTATGTTTGAAGAACATAATTCATATTATTTCAATCCATAATTCATATGATTTCATTTGAGACAGTGCTGGGGATGGAGCTCAGTGGTAAAGCACTTTTCTAGCATGTGCAAGGCCCTGGGTTTGATTCCCAGCACCACAAAAAATTTATTGAGGCTTGTTTTGTCATTTAGATAAGGTTGGTCTTGGAAAATGTTTCATATACACTTGAGGAAATGTATGTTCTGTTCCCAGTTGGTTTATTTCATGATAACTACTAGGTCTATTTAGTTTATACAGTTGTTCAAGTCCTTTCTTAAAACTGGTTATTTTAGTTATAGATGACAGTGCAATCTATTTGATATACTTATACAAGGATGGAATATATCTTATTCTAATTAGGATTTTCTTTTTCGGCCTCATTGTTGCTTCTATAATTGAAAAGAGTGTATTGAAATCTCTGTTAATGTTAAATTATCTAGTCTTCCTTTCGGTATTATCGTATTTTGCTTCATGCATTTTGAGATGGTTTTAGGTGCATATATATTTAAGATTATTTTATCTCTCTGTTGAATTCACCCTGTAATCACTACAAATGTCAATCTGACTCTGAAAATACTTTTGGTATTAGTACAGCTACACTAGCTCTCTTACTATTGTTTATGCAATATATCCTTTTCCATTCTTTTCTCACAACTTATTTCTATTTTTGTTGTTTGTTTTCTAAGTAAAGTACTTAGAAAACAAACAACAAAGTACTTGCTGTATACAAAGCTGAACTTGTTTTGTGTCTGCCTTTCACATTACTCTACTTCTTTCTTTCCTATTCTTTTCTTTGTTCCAATCAGTTATACATGACAGCAGAATGCATTTTGATTCATTGTACACAAACGGAGAACAACTTTTCCTTTCTCTTGTTGTACATGATGTAGATTTGCACCATATGTGCAGTCATATATGTATTTAGGGTATTGATGTCCATTTTATTCCACCATCTTTTCCTGCCCCCATGCCACCTCCCCTCCCCCTCCCCATTGCCCAATCAAAATTTCTACATTCTTCCCATGCCCCCCCCCCCCCATTATGGATCAGCATCCACTTACCAGAGAGAACATTCAGCTTTTGTTTTTTTTAGGATTTGCTTACTTTGCTTAGCATGATCTTCTCCAATTCCATCAATTTACCTCAAATATCATAATTTTATTCTCTTTTAATGCTGAGTAATATTTCATTGTGTATATATATCACAGTTTCTTTATCCATTCTTTGATTGATTGAAAGGCATCTAGATTGTTTCCACAGTTTAGCTGTTGTGAATTGAGCCACTATAAATATTGATATGGTTGTGTCACTATAAAACTAGACATGTAGACCAATGGTACAGAATGGAAGACACAGAGACAAACACACACAAATACAGTTATCTCATACTATACAAAGGCGCTGAAAACATACACTGATGGAAAGACAGCCTCTTTAACAAATGGTGCTGGGAAAACTAGAAATCTGTATGCATCAAAATTGAATTAAACCCCTATCTCTCACCATGCACAAAACTCAACTCAAAGTGGATCAAGGACCTGGGAATTAGACCAAAGACTCTGTGCCTAATAGAAGAAAAAGTAGGTCCAAATCTCCATCATATTGGATTAGGTCCTGATGTCCTTAACAAGACTTCTAAACTACAAAAAGTAAAATCAAGAATCAATAAATGGGATGGATTCAAACTAAAAAGCTTCATCTCAGCAAAGGAAACAATATGAAAAGAGAGTTCACAGACCAGGAGAACATCTTTACTACATGCATATCAGATAGAGCACTGATTTCCTCTACTTCTTTTTAAAAATTCATTTATTTATTCTAATTTGTTATATATGACAGCAGAATGCATTTCAATTCATAGAATATGTATAGAGCACAATTTTTCATGTCTCTCGTTGTACAGAGTCACTCGGTTCATATCTTCATACATGTACTTGGGGTAATGATGTCCATCTCATTCTACCATTCTACTCCCTCCCTTCTCCTCCCTCCCTCCCCATTGACTTATCCAAAGTTCCTCCATTCCTCCCATGCTCCCCCTTCCTTCCCCACTATGGATCAGCATCCTCATATCAGAGAAAACATTCAGCATTTGTTTTTTTGGGATTGGCTAACTTCACTTAGCATAATATTCTCCAACTCCATCCATTTACCTGCAAATGCCATGATTTTATTCTCTTTTAATGCTGAGTAATATTCCATTGTGTATATAGTATACCACAGTTTCTTTATCCATTCATCTACTGAGGGGTATTTAGGTTGATTCCACAATTTAGCTATTGTGAATTGAACTACTGTGAATTGAGCGTCACTATAGTATGCTGTTTTTAAGTTCTTTGGGTATAAACAGAGGAGTGGGATAGCTGGGTGAAATGGTGGTCCTATTCCAAGTTTTCCAAGGAATCTCCATACTGCTTTTCAGATTGGTTGTACCAATTTGCAGTCCCACCAGCAATTTATGAGTGTGCCTTTCTCTCCACATCCTCACCAACACTTATTATTGTTTGTATTCTTAATAGCTGCCATTCTGACGGGAGTGAAATGAAATCTTAGACTAGTTGCTAGAGATGTTGAACATTTTTTCATATATTCATTGATTGTATATCATCTTCTGAGAAGTGCCTGTTCAGTTCCTTGGCCCATTTATTGATTGCATTATTTATTTATTTATTTTTTTGGTGTTCAGATTTTTGAGCTCTATATATTCTAGAGATTAGTGCTCTATCTAATGTGTGTGCATGTGGTAAAAATTTGCTGCCATTCTGTAGGCTCTCTATTCACCTCACTGATTGTTTCTTTTCCTCTTCTTCTTTTGACAGTAGGGAAACAGGCATCATAGTTTTGATTTCTGTGAAAAGAAATTATTGGAAAATTTATGCACATCATGTAATTCTTGTGAATGATATAAATAATTTTAAAATCCTAATATTTCTAATGGTAAGCATACTTAATAAAATATTTCATTCATGTGTTTTGACTATTTTCTTTTAAAAAATATATATGTTACTTGTAGATGGACACAATATCTTTATTATATTTATTTTTATGTGGTGCTGAGGATCAAACCCAGGGCCCTACGAGTGCAAGACAAGTGCTTTATCACTGAGCTACAACCTCAGCCCTTGACTACTTTCAATCTATGGAATACTTCCATATTTCACTAGGAACATAACCCCAGCTTGTCCCTGAGCAGTATTGTCTATGGTTAAAGTGCCAGGTTGACAGTGTAGAACAAAGGTTTGGTGCTCTCAGGGACTAATGCAAGGTTACTTACTGCAAGCCATGAAGTAGTTGCTGTGTTTGGTTACTAAATATGCTCTCCTTGATGTCCTTTCTACCCCTTCTAGAGAGATGGGACCACCTCACCACTACTACAACCAGGAGGCCAGGAACAACCAGAGCTCCAGCATATCCTGCAGGTAACTGGCTGCTCTGAGGATGGCAGTAATTAGGGCCCTGGTGGACCCCCTTGGAGCACTGCCCAAATAAGCTAAGTGTACATTTTTCCCCATGTGTGCAAAGTCAACCAAGGCTTTTGTCTAAAAACTGGGTTTAACTTAGTAAAGTGTGCATACCTAGCTGATCATTGGGCTTTCTGTGTGTTTTATGAAAAGTTCTGCCATGGAAATTTTACAGAAAAAAATGCATTTGTATTTCTTCCCTTATTCAACCATTTAATTTTCTAAAATCAGAGAAAATGTATTTGTAATTGGTTAGGCTTTATGAAGCCCATCAGACTTTTTTTTTTTTTTTTCAGGCAGAGAGAACATTTTGTAATGGGATTTATTTTATGGGCTTACCTTTTAGGAAAGGATTTTGGAACTCAGTATTTCTGTAATGACTCTTTCCTGTAATTGTTTGAACCTTTCTTTAGTTGGACCATTTTGCCATTTGGACATCTTCAGTGATTTAAAGAAAAGCTTGGCTTTGGGGATCACAGACTTAGTCACTGCCTCCATTGATAACTTGTTTACAGTACTTTCAGGAGACATGCTGATACCTTCCATTCAGTGGAGAGCTACTTTCCTTTCAAAGAGACAGTGACGATCTAAGAGAGTCACTGCATGAGTTAACATCATGTCTTCACATTTCCAGATTCAAAGGGGTATTTTGTGACCATGTGGTCTTGTTTTTTTTTTTTTTTTTTGGTACAAGGGATTGAACCCAGGACACTCAACCACTGAGCCACAAGAGCCTCACTGCTGAGGCTGGCTGTAAACTCCCGCTCCTTCAGCGTCGGCCTCCCGAGCCACAGGGATTACAGGTGTGCACCACCACACCTGGCTGTGTCCCCCCCCCCTTTTTTTTCCATGTCCTTAGTCAGTTTAATTTTAAGTATTATTTGTATATTGGTACTGGAGAGGGAATCCATGGTCTTGCACATGCTAAGCAAGCAATCTACTGTTTTTTTTTTTTTCCGTGTGTTCTTTTTTTATTTTTTTAATTTTTTTAATTTTTTTTATTGTTGGTCGTTCAAAACATTGCATAGTTCTTAATACATCATATTTCACAGTTTGATTCAAGTGGGTTATGAACTCCCAATTTTACCCCGTATACAGATTGCTGTATCACATCAGTTACCCTTCCATTGATTGACTGTGTCCCCCCTTTTAATTGTCCAGTTCATGGACTTTGCACATCTGGTTTTGAATCTTGGTTAATGCCTGCAATCAGTGAGTATGCCATTAAAATGATCCACCTGCTGGCCAAAGCAAAGCATCTGTAAGAATCTAAATTAATTTCAACATCAGTATACTGCAGAATCAGAAAGTAGGAACTTGCTCCATCCTGTGGGTATTTTCATTATCAGTGTCTGTATACAGAGATTTCATTTTCAGTTTCTATTTTCTTAACTCATTGTTAGTGCTGATCAGTTGAATCCATGGGTGTTGTTTTGCTTTTTTTGGAGTCTTGCACCCCATTGTTAATCACTTGCTTGTTTCCTTTATGTTTGGAAAGGTGATTTTGATTTGTCTGATGCTTTGGGTGATCGAGATGATGGCCATAGGAAACCAAGTGCAGGGGGAAGAGATAACTCTTAACTGGTTGGAACCACTGGCCTGTGGCATAGCTCCATGCAGGATTCTGCCCTGTGTCCCAGTGATCCTCTTGTGAAACTAGGACACTTCAAATACCAAGAGAACCCTAATATACAATCATGCCCCAACAATTTAGTCTTAGTATTTCCTAAACTATTGATCTTTGTTTCTCTCTCTCTCTATATATATATATTTTGTACTTGTACACAATATCTTTATTATTTATCTATCTATCTATCTATCTATCTATCTATCTATTTATTTATTTATTTATATGTGGTGCGGAGGATCGAACCCAGGGCCTTGCACATGTGAGGCGAGCTCTCTACCACTGAGCCATAACCCCAGCCTCGATCTTTGTTTTTTTTTTTTTTTTTACTTTTTTTTTGTAGTTGTAGATGAATAGCATATCTTTTTTTTATTTGTTTATTTTTATGCAGTGCTAAGGGTCAAACCCAGTGCTTCACACATGCTAGGCAAGTGCTCTGCCACTGAGCCACAACCCCAGCCTAATTATTGATCTTAAGAGCTTTTGTTAACATGGATCATTATGAATCAATATGTATCATCTAAGAACTTAAACTAAAAAAAACAACTATTAACCAATCCATGTAAATGACATTAAAAACCATACATAATAACATAAATTGGAGTTTTTTGTTTTTCTTACTATTGAGTTTTGAGATCTCTTTAAGTATTCTAGACACAAGTCTTCAGTCAGAAGTGTTTTGCAAATGTTTTTTCCTATTTTGTAGCTTATCTTTTCAATCTTTTAACAAGGACTTTTGTAGAGCAGACATTTTAAATTTTGATGATATCCAGCATATCAGCTTTTCCTTTTATGGATAATACTTTTTTAAATCATTTTGTTAGTTGTCAATGGACCTTTATGTTTTATTTATTTACATGTGGTGCTGAGATTCAAACCCAGTGCCTCACACATGCTGGGCAAGTGCTCTACCACTGAGCCACAACCTCAGCCCTGGATTATGCTTTTGATACCATGTCTAAGAACTAGGACTCTTTGTCTATTCCCAGGTTCCATCGATTTTCTGTTTTTTTTCCCGTGCATATGAATTTCTAATTACTCCCAACACCATTATTTAAAAGACTATTCCTTCATTGAACTGCTTTTGATCCTTTAAAAATTAAATGGAATATAACTCTTTTTTTGTTGGATTTGACGTGCTGGTATTTTTTGTAGATTTTTGCATCTGTATTCATAATAGAGGTCTGCAGTTTTTCTTAAGATGTCTTTGTCTGGTTTTGGCATTAGAGTTATGCTAGTCTCGTTGAATGAATTTGAAAGTATATCTTCTGTTTTCTGGAAGACTTGTAGAAAGATTGCTATTTGTCCTTTAAATGTTTTGTACAATTCACCAGTGAAGCCATATGGTCCTGGGCTTTTATTCATTAAAGTTTTTGATAATTAGTTTTATTTACTTGATTTTTTTTGTGGTGCTGATGATTGAACCCAGGGTCTAATGCACGCTAGGCAAGCTTTCTACCATTGAGCCATATCCCCAGCCCCTAGTTCTGTTTACTTGTCTATTCAGACTTTATATTTCTCCCTGAGTTATTTTCAGTAGTGTGTATCTTTCAAGATTTTGTGCATTTCATTTAGGCTACCAATTTATTGGCATACTTTTGTTAATAGTATTCCCTTTTTATAATCATTTTTATTTATTTTAGTCAGTAGTGATGTTTGCAAATTCCCCTAATTTTTTCTGTCATTATTTTTCATTATTTATTTCTCCTTTTACCTCTACCACTTTTTGATTCATGTATTTTGAGTGTTTCAGTGCTTCCAAATTTAAAAATATTATGTCTTCCAGGTGTGTTCATCCTCTTATCAATGTGTTATACCTTTCCTTTTTTCTAATTTCTTGGCTATGCCATCCTTTTTTTTTTTTCCTTTTTGATACTGGGGATTGAACTCAGGAGTACTCAACCACTGAGCCACATCCCCAGCCTTTTTTTCTTTTGTATTGATTACATTTGTATTGTTTACTTTTCTTGAGTCACCTATTATACTTGGGTGTGCAACAGAAGTTCTCTAAGCACCTTCTCATTTCATCACATGGAATGTTAAAAAGATGTGTATTCAAGGTTGAGTTCTAATAAATGTTTTCTGCTCCAATTACCATAAGTTTAGTGAATTAAAATGATTTTGTATTCACTTCATTCTCATTTGCCTAGGATCAGGAATGTGGCACCTATTTAGCTGGATCCTCTGCTTAGTGTCCCCTTGCAAAGGTGCAATCCAGATGTCAGCTGGGGCTAGGGTGTCATCTGAAGTCTGACGTCATGTCAGTTTCCTATTTCTGCTATAAATCAATGACCATAAACTCGGCTTTTTAAACAATTCAAATTTATCTTATAATAATTGAGATTATTAATTCAAAATGGGTCATGCTGGACTATGCTAAAGGAGCTAGCAAAGCTACATTTCTTTTGAGACTCTAGGGGAGAATCTGTTTCCTTCCCTTTTCCTATGTGTACAATCACCTGTATTCTTTGGCTTGTGGCTACTTCCTCCATTTTCAAGGCCAGTTGAGTAGCATAGTCAAGCTTTCTGAGTCCCATTCCTGCTTCCATTATCACATCTCCTCTGCCTCTCCTTCCTGTCTCTCCTTGCAGAGGCCCTTATGATTACATTGGCCCTGACCAGATAATCTCCCTGTGTCAAGGGCCTTAGATTAATCACATCTGCAAAGCCCCTTTCCTTGTGTAAGGTAACATGTTTAAAGATTCATAATTGTTAACAGAATTCATTTCCATGAAACTGTGAAACTCACAGTTGCATATTTCTTCAAGATCAGCACAAGAGTGAGAGGTTCTGCTGTCTGTGGTATCATTCAGAGAAGGCCTAAGCCCACTTTTCAAGAGCTCACCTGATTATGTCCAAATTACCTAGAATATTCTCCCATTTAAGTAATCTAAAGTCACATTGCAAAATCTATTGACCTCTTCCACGTTAAAACTTCATCATGACAGTGCCATCCAGCCTGGGCCTGGGTCCTTCCCACACTCAAGGAATGAAAATTATATAGAGTGTAGGAATCTTTGTGGCTATCTGAGAATTCTGCCTACCAGGTTCATCTAGGACTTTCTTAAGTGAAACAGGCATTCTTTCTGGACTGCCATTGTGTAGTGATGAGTAGTCTCATGACATCTTGGGCCTTGCTGCATGCCAAGGGCTGGCAAGTTTACTCACCATTACTTTTGTATCACAGTGTAAATGCTGATCTAGTAAAAAGGGCAACAAACATTTGAGGGTGATTATGAAAATAGTTATGGCCTCCTAGACCCCCTGGGGGACCATGGGGCCACTGTCCTTTGAGAGGATGACTTTATGAAGTTATGTGGTATCAGAATGT